CTGCCAGGCAAGCGCTGCGACCCTGAGTCRGATGCGGGCCCAGGGGAGGAGTTCACCTGCGGCAGCAACTTTGCCATTGCCTACTTCATCAGCTTCTTCATGCTGTGCGCTTTCCTGGTGAGAGATGTGGGGCCACATGCCCCGTAATCCTGTCCCACAGCCCTTGCTCTGTCCCACAACCCCCAGGAGCCCTGGGGGATCCCAATCGCTCTTCACTCCCCCAGATCATCAACCTGTTCGTGGCTGTGATCATGGACAACTTYGACTACCTGACGCGGGACTGGTCCATCTTGGGCCCGCACCACCTGGACGAGTTCAAGCGCGTGTGGTCCGAGTACGACCCCGCAGCCAAGTGTGTAACTGTYCCCCTGTCCCCAGCTGGGGGGTCCAGGTAGCCGGACCACCGGTGACCCCCTGACCTCCCCAGGGGCCGCATCAAACACCTGGATGTGGTGACGCTGCTGCGCCGRATCCAGCCCCCGCTGGGCTTTGGGAAGCTCTGCCCACACCGMGTGGCCTGCAAGGTCTGGGGGGGTCCTGGGGAGATCTGGGGGGATCCTGAGGGGGAGCCACCCACATTCATCCCTGTCTTGTCCCCACCCCAGCGCTTGGTGGCCATGAACATGCCCCTCAACTCGGATGGAACCGTAACCTTCAACGCAACACTCTTTGCTCTGGTCCGCACCTCCCTCAAGATCAAGACAGAAGGTTGGGAGCTGGGGGAGTCCAGGGGAGGGGGCAGGGGACAGCAGGGTGTGACAGTAACAGCTGTGTATTCCTTCCTACCCTGTGTCCCCTTCCTCCAGGGAACTTGGACGTGGCCAACAAGGAGCTTCGTGCTGTGGTCAAGAAGATCTGGAAGAGGACGAAGCCAAAGCTGCTGGACGAGGTCATCCCCCCGCCTGAGGGTGTGTGACAGCCATGTCCCCTGCCCTGCCCCCTGCAGACCCTCAGCTGTCCCCTGACCCTCTRTGTCCCCCAGAGGAGGAGGTCACCGTCGGGAAGTTCTACGCCACGTTTCTGATCCAGGACTATTTCCGCAAGTTCCGGCGGCGGAAGGAGCGGGGGATGCTGGGTGCCAACGCGGGCCCCAGCAATGAGTGCGCACTGCAGGTGCGACCCCTCCCCAGGGCGGGGCTGGGGGTCCCAGGTGTCACCAGGTGACACCCCTGATCCTTCTGTGTTCCCCCAGGCTGGGCTGCAAACGCTGCAGGCATTGGGCCCTGAGATGCGCCGGGCACTGAGTGACCTAGAAGGGGACGAGGGCGGCGATGCCCCTTCGGAGGAGCCACTCACCTATGCCGTGAGCCCTGCCCCACCCTGGCCACACCTGTCCCATGGCCACACCGGCCCAAAAGCCGCACCAAATGGCCACACCTGTCCTTTGGCCGTGCCCACCGACCCCGCCTCTCTCCGCAGGCCCCCGAGACGCTCTACGGCTCCGCACCCGGCTCCCCCCTGCTCTCGGAGCCGCCCCCCGCCCCCAGCCCCGCCCCCACCGAGGCGGAGGAGCCCGCGCCCCCCTCCCATGGGGGAGCCCACCGGCCTGGCGGCAGGTACGCGGGGGCTGGGGACATCCCGACACGGGGCGGGGGGTTCCCAGGGGTGGAGGAAGGATGCTCATGGCCCTGTGCACAGGCGACGCTCCGTGGSTGGGGACCAGGATGAGGAAGCCCCSGCYGAGGACGTGGAGGAGCCGGTAGGGGAYCCGGGGGATGTCAGCCACGACGAGGACCTGGAGAGCTCGGCACCGCCCCGGCACCGCTGGGCCGGGGACAGGTACTGCGACCCTGGGACGGACCCCTATCTTGAGAGGGTCCCTGCAGCTGGGGACGGGGCGAAGTGCCCGTGACAGGCTGCCGGGACCCCCGAAAGGCGGGGGTGTGCCTTGTGCCTGTCATTCACCCCTGACTCCCTGTTACCCCGAGGCCGCTGGGTCTCCCCGCGCTGGGAGGTGTCCGAGGGGAGGGTCCCAGCCCGCGACTGATCCCCCCTGTTCCTCCCCAGGCTGCCGGGACCCCCGCGCTGGACGGCGGAGCTGCCCCGGGGAGGGTCGCTGCCGCTGCCCCCCCGACACTTCGCGCTCGGCAGCGGCGCCCGCGAGGGGCAACAACTGAAACGGCGCCGCCTCCTGCCCCCCACCCCCGCGGGTACGGGCGGAGACCGGGAAAACGGGGAGGGGGCAGGGCTCCAGTGAGACCCTCCGGGTTCGGCTCCGGCAGCGCCGACTGAGCCCCCGGTAGCCCAGGAAGGTCCCTGGGGCTGATGGCAGGGGGAGATGACACTGCTTGGTACCCCGGAGAAACCCAGCGGGGGAGGGCCCTGTCCGGGGTATTCCTTCGGGCCTCCAACGGGCGGGAGAGATCCCTCCCAGTGCTCCCCGGTACCCCCGATTTCGCGGACGGTCCCTGGCCGAGAGGAGTGTTCCTGCTCGGTGCCCCGGTGGTTCCATGGCTGGGGGCTGATCCTGCCCGGTGCCCCCTGTAGCCGGGAGAGTCCCTGGCCATGGTGGGTGACGCTGCCCGGTTTCCCGGGGATCCGTCGCCGGGGCTGACCCTGCCCGCTGTCCCCCAGGCCGGAAGCCCTCGTTCACCATCCAGTGCCTGCGGCGCCAGGGCAGCTGCGAGGACGAGCCCATCCCGGGCACCTACAACCCGTCGGGCCCGCCCGGCCCCGCACGCCCGCAGGTACTGCTGGAGCGGGTGGGGACACAGGAGGAGGGGACACTCTGGCAGTGTCACCCCCGCACTGACCCCTCCCGTCCCCAGGGCTACGGCAGCTCCGAGACCTGGCGCCTGGGGGGCTCCTCGCAGGCCTGGGCRGCCCCGGCCCGCGGGCACGTTCTGTACGCGCCGCTCATCCTGGTGGAGGGGGCTCCGCCGGGGGGCGCGGGGGGCAGCCTGCCTCCCCTCAACCGCTGGTTCCCCCCCGCGCCGCTGCGCCTGCGGCCCTGCGGGCCCCACGATGCCCTGGCCCGAGGCTCGGCCGACAGCCTGGTGGAGGCCGTGAGTGTGGGGACACGGGTGGGACGAGGGAGGGACATAGGGTGACACGGCTTGGGGTGACAGCACGGAGGAGGCTGTGAATGCAGGGGGATATGGCGGGGAAACACTGGACAGGAGATGGTGGGGGGACATGCAGAAGATATGGGACAGGGACCTCTCACAGGTTGGCCAACAGCCTGGTGGAGGCCATAAGAGAAGGGGGAACACATAAGGGGGACACTGGGGACACGAAGGGGGAACACCTCATGTTTTGGCCAACAGCCTGGTGGAGGACATAGCGGAGACATGGGGGGATATGGTGGGGGACACGGCACGGTTTGGCTGAGGGACTGGTGGAGGCAGGGAGGACGGGGACACAGCGGGACACGGGCCCGTCCCCACTGCCTGTGCCAGCGTCTCCTCCTCATCYCCCGTCCAGGTGCTGATCTCAGAGGGGCTCGGGCTGTTCGCCCGCGACCCCAAGTTCGTGGCCGTGGCCAAGCGCGAGATCGCGGACGCGTGCGACATGACGATGGACGAGATGGAGAGCGCGGCCGCSGACCTGCTGACCCGGCGCCGCAACCCGCCCGCCCCTGCGCCCGCGACCGCCGTCTACAGCGACGAGGAACCGCTGCGGCCGCCGGCAGAGGAGGAGCTGGCGGACGAGATGGGCTGGGCTGGCGGGGTCTAGAACCCGGGGCTGGCACTGCAGAGCCGATCCGGTGCGGTCTAGAACCCGGGGCTGGCACCAGAACCCAGGGCTGGCACCGCGGGACCGACCGGGACCGGGGATCCCGGCGGGTGGGCTTTAGAACCCGGGAACGGCCCCGAGCTGTGTGGGGGRCGATGTTACCTCAGGAAAAAAAAGGGATTTTTATCAAAAAGGTTCTCATTTTTTTTTCCCCCTCACACAAGGAGGGCGTTCCTCTGGGTATTTGCCTCAGGGAGAGGGTTTTTCCTGGAAAAAGATGGTTTTTTTTCCTTCAGGAAAAGGGGTGATTACATCAAAAAAAGAAAGTTTTTACTCAAAACCAAGTGTGTTTTCCTTTCAAGTAAGCAAACCATGTTTCCCTTAAAAAGGAATTTTTCTTAAGAAAAGGACTTTTTCCCCTCACAGAAAGAAAAAATTGAAAAAGAGAGGAAAAAGGCTTTTCTTATAAACTTTTTTTTTTTTCCTGGAAAAGGGATATTTACATCAAGGAGGGGTGGGGCGGGGAATGTCTTCAAATAGGAAGTTTTTACTCAAAAGAGGAAAAAAAAAAAGGGTTTTTTTCCCCCTCAAAAAAAGGAAGTTTTACTTCAGGAAAAGAGACGTTTACCTCCTGGGGAGGGTGAGGTGTTTTCAAAAAAGGAATATTCCCTCTTGAAAAGGGATAATTACCTAAAAAAAAAGTCCTTTAAAAAAAAGGCTTTGTCTAAAAAAAGAAGAAAGTTTTTACTCCAAGAAAAGGAGGTGTTTTCCCTCAAAAAAGCTTTATCTCAGGAGAAGGGAGATTTGCACCCAAAAAAGAGGGACTGTCAAAAAGAAAAAGAAGTCAAATTTTTTCCTTCAGATAAACGTTTTTTCCAAAAAAAAGGAGTTTGACCTTACAAGTGAAAGATTACTCCTAAAAGGATAATTCCTCCTTAAAAAGGGGAATGTTACCTCATGGAGGGTGATTTTCCATCAGGAAAAAGGCTTTTCTCCCCTTGGAAAGGTAAATTTTACATTACAAAGGAGGGGTTTTACCTCAGGAAAGATGCATTTTACCTCAAAAAAAGAGGGTTTTACCTCAAAAAGGATTTACTTCAAACGAGTTCTACTGCAAATAGAGTATTTTACTTCACATAATGGAGTTTTATATCAGGAAAAAGGATTTTTTAATCTGAGAAAATATGTATTTTACCTCATAAGAAGGGTCTTACGTGAGGAAGCGGGATTTTACCTCAGGGTAAATTTTTTAAGCTTTTTATCTAAAGGAAAGGGTGAATGTTTTACTTTAGGAACAGTAACATTTACCTCATGAAACAGGGTTTTCTGAAGGAAAGAGCGCTTTTCACCTCAAGGAGGGAAATTTTGCCTCAGAAAAGGTTTTTACCAAAGGAAAGGTGATTTTTTCCTCACAAAAGAGGGTTTTACCTTATGAAAGAACATTTCACACCTCAGAAAGGAGGGTTTCACCTCAGGAATGGGGACTTTACCTCACTCATTGAAGAGGGTTTTACCTCATGGAAGTGTTTTTCAAATCAGGAAGGATTTTATTTCAGGAAAGGTGAATTCTACCTCATAAATTAGGAGTTTACCTCAAGAAGGGGACATGTTTTACATCACAGAAGGCAGTTTTACCACAGGAAAGAACTTTTCACCTCMAGGAAGCAGATTTTGACTCAGAAACATAAAATGTAACTTGCTTAAAGAAGGCTTTACCTCACAAAAAACCTTGTTCTCTTCATGAAAGGGGCTTTTTACCTCACAAAAGTGGACTTCTACCTCAGGAAGATAAATTTTACTTCACAGGAGAGGGGTTTATCCCATGAAATAACACGTCACACCTTAGAACAGGGAATTTTACCTCTGAAAAGGGCTGTTTGACCTAAGTAGGGAAGGTTTTCCCTCAGAAAAGTGGATTTTTACCTCAGGAGAGATAAAATTTACCTCACGAAAGCCCATTTTTCACCTCACGTACGGGACTTTTCCCTCAGGACAAGGAGGCACTCTGGGGCTCCGGGCAGATTCCCGCCCCCGCCCCTGCCGCGCGCCCATTGGTGGAGCCAGCGACCAATGGGGAGGCGGCTCCGCGCACAGCGCGAGCGCCCCCACGAGGCTGCGCGGGGAGTTCGGGGGAGGGAGCGAACCCCCAAAATTCCGACCCCCATAATAACCCTGAACACATCAAAATCCCGACCCCCAAAACTCTGAACACCTCAAAATCCCGACCCCC